AAAAAAAAAAAAAAAAAAAAATCTGTCTTAAAGGTTAAGCTATCATCATCCCTAAAGTTGGCGGTGGTTTATGGAGGGCATATCTGTCTTATCTGCTTGAAATCTTTAATTTCTCATCGTCCTCTGTAAAATCTACTTATTTACCATAGCATTATAGGTTCTGTGCTTTCTGGACCTGGCATGCCTCCCTAGCATATCTCCTTTTACACGCCTGTAAACCCAGCACTTTGGGAGTCCAAGGCAGGCGGATCACCTGAGGTCAGGAGTTCGAGACCATTCTGGCCAACATGGTGAAACCCCGTCTCTACTAAAAATACAAAAATTAGCCAGGCGTGGTAGTGGGCACCTGTAATCCCAGCTACTAGATAGGCTGAGACAGGAGAATTGCTTGAACTTGGAAGGCGGAAGTTGCAGTGAGCCAATATCGTGCCACTGCACTCCAGCCTGGGCGACAGAGCGAGACTCAGTCTCAAAAAAAACTATTCTTAATAGGTCATATATATTGATTTTAAATTCGAAAAGTATAACATATGCAGTGAAAAGTAACTCTAGCAGCCCGGATCCCCAACCACCTAGTTCCCTTCTGTAGAGCAGTCGTTGTTACCTTTTTCTTACATATACATACCTAGATGTTCTAGTCTTGTCTTTAACCAATTTTCAGTTGATGGACATTTAGGGTATTTCTACTTTTTTGTTGTTAGGAACAGTGCAGCACTGAATACACTTGTACATCCATTGTTTTGTACATATGCAAATGTAGCTATAGAATCAAGTTCTCAAAGTTAAATGGCTTTGCCAGAGGATATTTGTATTTTTTTTGTTTCCACTGCTAAGACTCATACATTTTTTAAAAGGATGTATGTATTTTTAACTTGGACAGTTGCTCTCTACAGCAGTTGTACCAATTTATACTTTAGTATTGTATGAATATGCCTCTTCTCACTTTTACTAATTGTTACCATACTTTTTGGTCTTTTCCAATTTGTATACTTCGTTTTTCTCATTATAAGTGAAGTTGAACATATTTTAGCGTTTTGGAAGCTATTTGTATTTCCCATTCTAGGGTGTGCATGCTAATATTCTTGGCCCTTTTTTCTCTTAGGTTATTTTTTTCTCTTGGGTTGTTGGTTTTTCTTACTATGCAAAAAGTATTTTTACGTAGTGCAGTTCATTAATCAGTGGTCCCCGACCTTTGTGGCACCAGAGACTGGTATCATGGATGTCAGTTTTTCCATCAACAGGGGTTTTGGGGGAGGATCATTTCAGGATGATTCAAGCACATTACATTTATTGTGCATTTTATTTCTGTTAGTATTACATTATGATATATAATGAAATAATTTTACAGCTCACCATAATACAGAATCAGTGGGAGACTTGAGCTTGTTTTCCTGCAACTAGATGGTCCCATCTGGGTTGACAGATTATCAGGCTTTAGATTCTCATAAGGAGCACACAGCCTAGGTCCCTCGAATGTGCAGTTTACAGTAGAATTCAAGCTCCTTTGAGAATCTAATGCTGCGCCTGATATGAAAGGAAGCGGAGATCAGGCAGTAATGTGAGCAATGAGGAGCTGTTGTAAATACAGAAAAAGCTTTGTGAGCTCACCTCCTGCTGTGCTGCCTAGTTCCTAACAGGCTACCAACTGGTACCAGCCTGGGGGTTGGAGAACCCCCTACATTAACCCTTTATTTTATTGTATTGTATTGTATTGTATTTTTGAGATGGAATCTCACTCTGTTGCCCAGGCTAGAGCGCAGTGGTGCGATCTCTGCTCACTGCAACCTCCGCCACCCAGGTTCAGGTAATTCTCCTGCCTCAGCCTCCCAAGTAGCTGGGATTACAGGCACCCGCCACCATGCCCAGCTAATTTCTTTTGTATTTTTAGTAGAGACAGTGTTTCATTGTGTTGAACCAGCCAGTCTCAAACTCCTGACCTCAGGTGATCCACCTGCCTCAACCTCCCAAAGTGCTAGGATTACAAGCATGAGCCACCGCACCCGGCCAACCCTTTTTTTCCTTTCTTTCTTTCTTTGTTTTTTTAGAGACAGAGTCTTGCTCTGTCACCCAGGCTGGAGTGCAGTGGCACCACCTCAGCTCACAGCAACCTCCATTTCCTGGGTTCAAGTGATTCTTCTGTCTCAGCCTTCCAAGTGACTGGGATTACAGGGGCCCACCACCATGCCCAGCTAATTTTTTTGTGTTTTACCATGTTGGCAAGGATGGTCTTAAACTCCTGGCCTCAAATGACCCATCCACCCACCTCAGCCTCCCAAAGTGCTAGGATTACAGGCATGAGCCACCATGCCTGGCCAACCTTTTGTTTTATGGTTTTAAGATAAGATGTCATACTTGAGGAACGTGTTGCCCACTCTGAGATTTTAAAATAATTTTTCTATGTTTCCTTATATACATTTGAAAATAAAACTTTTATTGAATAACCTGTGGCAAGGCCTGGTGGCTCACAGCTGTAATCCTAGCACAGAAGGAAGGCTGAGGCAGGTGGATCACTTGAGGCCAGGAGTTGGAGACCAGCCTGGCCAACATGGCGAAACCCAATCTCTACTAAAAGTATGAAAATTAGGCTGGGTGTGGTGGCTTATGCTTGTAATACCTGCAGTTTGGGAGGCCAAGGCAGATGGATCACAAGGTCAGGAGATCGAGACTATCCTGGCCAACATGGTGAAACCCTGTCTCTACTAAAAATACAAAAAAAAAATTAGCAGGGCATGGTGTCTCGTGCCTGTAATCCCAGCTACTTGGGAGGCTGAGGCAGGAGAATCACTTCAACCAGGGAGTTGGAGGTTGCAGTGAGCTGAGATTGCGCTACTGCACTCCAGTCTGGCGACAGAATGAGACTCATCCCAAAAATAAATAAATAAAATAAAGAATAAAAATTAGATGGGTGTGGTGGTACATGTCTGTAATCCCAGCTACAGAGGATACTGAGGCAGGAGAATTGCTTTAATCTGGGAAGTGACATTTGCCTTGAGCCAAGATTGTGCCATTGCACTTCAGCCTGGGCAAGAGTGAGACTCTGCCTCAAAAAATAAAATAAGATCTAAAAAAATTTTTTTTCCCTGAGACAGTCTCGTTCTGCCACCCAAGCTGAAGTGGTGCAGTGGCAAGATTTCGACTCACTACAGCCTCTGCCTCCTGGACTCAAGTGATCCTCCCACCTCAGCCTCTTCAGTAGCTGGGATTACAGGCGTGTACCAGCTTACCCAGCTAATTTTTCTATTTTTAGTAGAGATGGAGTTTCACCACATTGGCCAGGCTGGTCTCGAATTCCTGACCTCAGGTGATCTGCCCGAAAGTTACAAAAGTTACTTTAGGCCTACCAAAGTGTTGGGATTACAGACCTGAGCCAATGCACCTGGCCAAAATACATCTTTTATTGAAGTATAATGTACTTATAGAAGAGTGCCCATGTCATAAGTGAATTTTCAGAAACTGAGTACACTCGTGTAATTAGTATAATAGCAGTTCTCAAAATCTAATCTCTGCATTCCTGGGATTCCCCCTTCCAGAGGGTCTGTGATGTCAAAACTATTTTCTCTCTCTCTCTTTTTTTTTTTTTTTTTTTTGAGACAGTCTCACTCTGTCGCCAGGCTGGAGTGCAGTGGCATGATTTCAGCTCACTGCAACCTCTGCCTCCCGGATGCAAGCGGATTTTCCTGCCTCAGCCTCCGGAATAGCTGGGATTACAGAGGTCAGCCATCATTCCCAGCTAATTTTTGCATTTTTAGTAGAGACAAGGTTTCACGTGTTGGCCAGGATGGTCTCCATCTCCTGACCTCATGATCCACCTG